AAGTGTAATGTAAAAGAAGGGGAAATTGTGAAAAATCTCAGCCAATATTGTAACTTTTAAATAACATTTTTAAAAGGGCAGGGGTGAGAGGAGGTATCATAGCATAAGGCCCTCTCCAGTCTGCTAAAAGAACTTCTTTACCACCTACAGTTAAAATTTCGGTTTTCTAACTGGGCTTATTTAAAATATGTATAAAAATATGTACTCACCAGCAGTTTACTGATATGGGTAGGTACTTGTATATTTGTCAAAAAAGGACTCTGGGAAAAATAGAAGGGACCCATCACACCTGTCTTTACCCCTGGTGATAGTGGCTGTGGTTTTGTGAAAGGAAGGGAACTAATTGTTCCTATTTCATCTCCTCTTTCCTGATGGGAATTTTTCCACTGCTGCAAAATAAAACAAAAACAAACAAACAAAAACCAGAAGGCATTAGTTTATGTGAACATGTTTAATTATCCTGAGGACCGTTACCCTTTGGGCTCCCAGGCGAACCACATCCAGGGAGGTTGAATACAGATGACAGGCGAGCAGCTTTCCAATAAACTGCAGTATTATTGCAATAGACTTTGTAATACAATTTATGCTGTCATTCATAAATAACAATGCCATATGTCAACCATATTGCTTACACAAGTAAATCCATCAACGTGTCACTATTTGATTTATCTTAACAGCTTCTTCAAATATTGAAGCATAGATACTGAAAGGGTGTTGAGTGGGGGTAACCACCCCACAACTCTGAGATTTTTAAAAAAACTACATATCCTCTGTTTGCTCCTTTTTTTTTTTTTTTTTAAATCTTGCATCCAAAAACATTCTAAAGGATGAGGGATGAAGTGGGGGAGAAGCAAATCCTGGGGCCAGTATGATTATTAAGTGGTTATATGAATTGTGAACATGTAGGGAGGGTTTTGTTTTGTTTTTCTATTTTCACTTTCAGAGTTTATTTTAGAACACAGGAGTGTCTCCCAGGAAATTACTAAACCTGAGGGTCAAATGTAGGCCAAAGTCAAAGATCTTTCTCCAACAACCACTATCTGTGAGTTTTTAAAATTTGATAACCAAATGAAAGCATTTGAGGAAAGGTCAGTTTTATACAATTTATTTAGTAATGGGGAAGAAGAGGGATAATGTTTCTGCAGCTTTTAACCATAAAGGTTAAGTGGACATGAGAAGGTCTAATCGTTGACCATGAAAACTGAAATTAACAACAAACAAAACCCCACGAAATTCAACATCTCAGTCACTGGCCACACAGCCAGCGACTTCTACCTTATTTTCATTGTGTTCATGCGCATGTGACAGGGATCATAAACTTTACCACAAAGCACATGTTTGGACACTCTTAGCCCGGTACATAGGAGCCTGAGGATTCTGCGGGAATTTAGGAGGACAGAAAAGAGAGGCAATCCTCTTAGAGCCATTCAGAGGGCAGCGAATAGGGGGGGGGAGGCAGTTAGGAGCAATAAGGCCCTCACAGCAGCCCCCCACCCAAGGCAGATCGCTAGTGGTGAGGGTGGGAAGGTAGAGGATCTAGTCCCTACTCACTGCGGCTAGGGCCAGGGGAGGTGGCCCATGGACCTTGCTGCCTAGATGGGTGGCGATGTCCTTGCATCGAAAATTCCCACTTCCAGCCCTGACAAATCTCTACAAAATGCAGCTTTGCCGTCCCCTTTGCCCATCTGGCCCTGGCTTGTGGAGTTTCCAGTGAACCATCACCACCCTCCCAGGGTCTGCTTCCTAATCCCCCACCCGCGGCACCCCGTCCGCTAAGCACCCAAGGGCATCCTTGGGCTAGGCTTCAAAGGTCCTTCGATTTCTCCAGTAACTAACTTGAGGTGTCTCATTCGCCCTTGAACCCGCCTCCCACGCGGCCCAAATGCCCCTAGACTCTCCAAATCCGCCCGGACCCAGCCCTTCTACGACGAGGCCGTTCTCTCAGAAACCACGCGGGATCAGCGAGTCATAAAGCAATTGCAGGAGCAATAAAAGGAGGCTTGGTGGGTCCCCCAGCTCCTTTCTTGTTCACCCCACAGTCCCCAAGTGTCCCTCTTCCCTAGCCTGCAGAAACAATCAAAGGCTCAAAAGCCAGGAAATGTCCAATTCACTTCCCTAGAGTTTATTATTACCCACACCCATCGCAGGAAACTTGGCAGTGTTCAGTGAGGACCGGAGGGCTCGGGGGAGCCTAGGAGCCGCGTTCCTCACTCCACGCAGCGGGAAGCCGTAAGCGCCCCGTGAGCATCCCCAGAGACCCGTTCAGTGGCCTCTATAGGCAGCTGAGCTGTGGCGGTCAGGTTCCCGCCAGCCGGGCATTTACTGTGCCTCTCACCTCCCCAGACTCTCCGAGCCTTTGTTCAAGACCTGAAGGAGGTTGGGGTTCGGTTCGGGGTGCAACCAAAAGGTCTGGAAACCGACGGCCTTAAAAAGCCCCCCAAAGGGCATTTCAATGACTTGCCACATTGCTGCCTCCACACAAACACCTCTGCTGCAAGGACATACGTTTTGAGGATTGGCCCTGAGGATCAGCACCACCGTGGAAATATGGGGCTAAATCCACGGAAGGAGAACTGGCATAGCTGCCTCTATAGCCCCCTGCTTTTAAAATTAATACATTATTTTCTTCAACGCCCTGGAAGTTGTTGGTGTTTATTTAAGAAGAGTGACACAGTTATTGGGCCCTTAGAAACTCGGAATTTAAAGAGATTTTACTTGGCTCCCAAATAGCTCGAAAAAGAAACAGCGCACCTGGGGTCAGGCAGGTCATCACAATAACAAAAAAGCGCGTCTAACAAAATAACAAAAAAGCTCTTTTTATAAAGAAAGGCAATCCCGGAAATCCACTGCATTCCTGATGACCATCTAGCTAGGCCTATTCTCAGGTTTAATTGGCAGGAGGTTTATTGGCGCCTTATTGGTGTTGATTGAAATTTTGCTCCCAGTCCTTTCTCTTAAGAATTAGCAGCTCAAGTCGATTTACCTGAGTCAATTATCTTTTTAGGGTCTGGATTTGGTCATAAATTTGCAAATATTCATTAAACTCACTTTGTAAATATTCGTTTTTCCAGTCACTACCCAAATCTCTGTTATTTCCTAAGAAACTCTTTTCTTTTTTAAGGCTTCCATAAAAAGAAATTGATCAGGGAGCTATATTTGAATTAAGACATATTAAATCGATGACAGATACATATCACGCTGTGTTTAACAAGAGCTGTACAAGGAGGCGGGTTCCAGATTCCGCACGGCTCTGCTGCAGCATCATTCACATTTTTACAGCCCTTCCTTCATGCCTCCACCCATTAAACCATTAAATTTCAGCAATTCAATAAAACAAAGCAGTTATAATTTTGACAAAAAGCTATTTTGAGGGGGGTGGAGGTACCCATTTTATTGCACAATAAAAATGCTCAACAGTCCATATTATAGGCGAGGCTGCATTTATTTTCTTTTTCTTTATTCATTCCTTTTCTTGGTTTTGTTTTGTTTTTACTTATAACCTGCAGGATGGAACTCAAAGCTTCCATTATTGCAAATATGGACATTCACTGCCAAGAAATTCATGTTTTGAGAGGAAAGAAAGTGGTGATAATTCCCAATATGATGCTTTCTTTATAAACCATCCATAGAGATGGCACAGTTCTCAATCCACCTTCCTGTGATTGGCTTCAGATGTTTTAAGATTTTGGAACAAAATCATGGAAGGACATGGTCTCTTAAAATACAGATGTGGATTTTGTCACTCCTGCCTATTAAAATTTTCATTGTGCTTCACTCGTGCCTTTTTAATTTCCCTATATCTGAACTTCACTGAAGCTTTTAAAAAAAAAAAGGTCATTTGAAATTTGATAGTATTATTGTCTTTGTTTGCTTGTCAGTTTTATAAGAGAAATGACATTCCCATGGCTCATGGGGAAGCTCTCACTTAGCATTGTTCACACCCATGTCAATGGGGCTATGGAATCAACTCTTTTGAAAAATATTCCTTACTTCTTCCTAGGACCATTTCCTGAGGATGGCTTTGTGTGGTCTACTTTTATTTGAACGGTAAATGAATTAAGCTAGGAACATGTTTTATAGTATCCCCAAAGGGGAGGGGGAACACATTTTATTTATTATGACCTCTAACAAATAATTTTATGGAGGAAAGCAAATTTTTAATCCTGATATTAGTTTTAGAACATTTTGGACTAACACATTTTAAAAAATGTTTCCTTTTAAAAATCTGAAGTTTGGGCTGGGGATGTGGCTCAAGCGGTAGCGCTCTCGCCTGGCATGCGTGCGGCCCGGGTTCGATCCTCAGCACCACATACCAACAAAGATGTTGTGTCCACCGAGAACTGAAAAATAAATGTTAAAAATTCTAAAAAAAAAAAAAAAAAAAAAAAAAAAAAAAAAAAAAAAAAAAAAAAAAAAAAAATAAAATAAAAATCTGAAGTGACAATTTGGTACACTATAACCTACTTTGGAATTTTCTGCCCTCCCCCCCAAGTGATATAGGTCCACGTTATTTTTTAAAAACTGATTTGGTAGCAAACTGCTGGGAAGGGATGGTTTTCACTAAGAACAGCAATGAGGTCCAGCTTTTATGGTTTTCAAATAAGACATCTCAGTTTACTTGAAAATGATAAGATGAGATGATATTTTATTGTAAATAAATAAGATAAATTTTATTGTATCTATTTGAATTTGTGGTCCTTTAAAAGAAATGAGGCACACACGTTAAGTGCGTTCTGGACAAGAAAGAGAAATTCTGCTTAAAGGACATTGCTTAGCACTGCTTTGCTCAGGAAACATGATGTTTGGCCTGCCCTGTCACTGTATCTCCGAAAGGCAAAAGTTAGCATTGCTGCCGGATATCCACGCCTCCCCGCCCCTCCGGTAGATCTAATTGGAAGTGGCAGATCTAGAACCGATGAGTAGTGAGATTACACTTTGAGCCAACTCCTTTGAACCATGTTGAAAGGGACTCCATGAGCTAAAAAGCATAAATAAAACCGTTCCTTTGGGAAAAGATTTATTTTGACTTCACCTGGCGTTTTGCGGAGCCAAATCACTCCAGTTGTTTTGCAATCAATAGACTTTAATAACCTTCCTTGGTCGGTCTCCTGTCTGCTCCCTACGTGAGAGCTGGGCAGATTGGGTGTCCAAACGTTTCTGGCATCACCACTACAGGTATGAAGACGGGATGTTCACCCTCCTGCAGAGGGCAGCTCAGGCATCTTCCAAAGTAGGAGTAGAAAGTGGGTACTGGAAGGGGAAACTGCGAGCAGTGAGGCGTAGGTTTTTGAAGTTAGGGATTCCCGCCCCGCCCTTTGCCCCTTGGGGGTCTCCAGTCCCTTACCACCCGGTGTACTCTGACTGCGTGCGCACGCTCTCCATAGGCGTGTCAACAGAGCGCAGAGCGCTGCGCGCGCAGGCCAAGCACAAACTTTCTGCAAGTGCAACTTGGGCATCCCTGGGGAGGCGGGGACCGAGGGCTCCAGGGGAGGAGGGGGCGCGAGTCGCGAGCACAGGGGCGGTTCCCCGCTGGGCCTAGGGTCTGAACGGGAGCCAATCGGGCAGCCGAGTCTGCTGCCAATCACGCGGCTCCCTCCAATCCCACCCGTGCCATTTCCAAAAATCTCAGTCCCACTGTGCAGCTCAAATGTGGTGCTCACTCTGCCAATCGCTGGAGGACAGAGTGGGAACAGGAATAAGCAGAGTTAGGAGGCCAGGACAAAAGAAGTTAAAGAGCGCCTAATATATACATGTTTTTGAAGGCGGGCAGAGGGAAAAAGGTCCCCCCAGTGAAGGTCTATGAGCCTGATTGTGTAGTTCTGATGGAGCCCCCTTTGAGCAAGAGGAACCCGCCAGAGCTGAGATTAGCGGATTTGGCAACGGCTCAGGCCCAGCCGCATCAGAATATGACAGGCTTCCCGGCGCTGGCCAGCCCGCCCGCCCACTCCCAACTCCGAGCTGCTACCACGCACCTCCACCCGCGGGACCTGGGTACTGACCCCGGCGTGGCCGTCACTGCGCTTGGACCCGAGCACATGGCCCAGGCGAGCGCTCAGAGCCTCAGCCCTCCTTCCCAGGGGCTCCCGGCGCAGTCCGAGGCTCCAGCGGCTGCTGCCCGCCCTGTGGCCGTAGTCGCGCACCCAGGCTCCGGCACCTACCCCGGCGGCGGGGGCAGCAGTGGCGCGCAGTCCTCCGCGCCCCCGCCCCCAGCCCCTCCTCTTCCTCCCTCCCCTTCACCCCCTCCTCCTTCCCCTCCCCCGCCTCCTCCTTCTGCCCTATCGGGCTACACCACCACCAACAGTGGCGGCGGCGGCAGCAGCGGCAAAGGCCACAGCAGGGACTTCGTCCTCCGGAGGGACCTTTCCGCCACGGCCCCCGCGGCGGCCATGCACGGGGCCCCGCTCGGAGGGGAGCAGAGGTCCGGCACCAGCTCCCCCCAGCACCCGGCCCCGCCTCCCCACTCGGCCAGCATGTTCATCTCTGCCAGCGGCACCTACGCGGGCCCGGACAGCGGCGGTGGCCCGGCGCTCTTCCCCGCGCTTCACGACACTCCAGGGGCTCCCGGCGGTCACCCACACCCGCTCAACGG